ACGCTATCCAGTCGTCATACCAATGGCTTGCATGCTTACCCTAGCCAACTCTACTCGATTCGAGGTTAATCTTTTCTTCTGGTTTTGTATTCTTAGTATGTTTATTGTTTAATTTTTTAGGTTCCTTTTTCGATGTCAATTGCGTATAATAAAAAGTTGTATTTATTTCTTTGTTATGCTTTTAAGACTGTACAACAGTTTTTGAAAATAAATTAATCAAATGTGCCGTGTAAATACTTCTGTTTCAAATAAGTGACAATGTGAAAAGAATATTTATTCGTACGTTATGAAATTATAAACCTAAGTTCTGTGATAACATGCGTAACTGTCTACCAAGTACCAGCTGTTCGAATGTCTCGATTTAATTCTTAACCTACTGGTTTTAATGCGTACTTAGATTGCGATTTTTCTCAATAAAAAATGAATCCTAATAATTACTTACATTTTTATAGTTCCAAAGTTCCAAACTAATTGTGTAGTTACAGCGCTGTGATGTCGTATGCGTTAGTGTAGTTCCTGTCTATAAATAGCAATGAGAGGATAACATGTATTTACAGGAGAGTCTATTTACTAATACCACTAAGTTGTCTATCAAAACTAAGAACAAGAACAAAACACGTACCGTAACTAGCTAGAGAAGGATTTTGTTATAAAATTTAATACACAGATCCATGCTTCTCGGTTCTACAAACCGCTAGGAACACCAGTAGCATCATGTGCGTTTTTTTTTATGAAAGCAAACGAGCAGGCGGTCACCTGATGGACAGTGGCTACCGCCGCCCATGCACGAGTACCCCTGCAACTCAGGCGTTGCTGTCCTTGGACAAAGGAGTACGTTAATTTAACTACAATACAACAATTAGAATTAGGTTAAAATGATTAACAACCAAAGTTTGTTTAGATGGAGAGTTACAAGTAAAGGTTAATAAAAGCTAGTTTAAACAGTCTATTAAAATCGTGCGAGATGTTCTTATGAATCTCGTAATCAAACGGCCACTGTCCGGAACAGAGGTCGCGGACAGGCTGGTACTATTACTCTAATTGCCTGAACCCCTACACACATTCGCCAAGATTTTTTAAGTACAACGCTTATCTTTGTCTGTATCTGTATAACACGTACGTATATATGTAATAAAATATTCTTTTAAAATTCATTTCCGATCTACTCTTGAGCTCACGAATGTCTCAAAAGGTCATTTTCGTAGTAAAGTGTTTAACATCCAACGATGTCTGTTATATGATTATAACGTATAAACGTAAACGTAATGTGACCGAAAGTTGAATCGGTATTCTGCTAGTCTTTGTAATATAATAATAAAGTTTAAATTATAATAGTATCTAATTATGTCTGCTTGAAACAGGACTCACACCTAGCTCAGGCCGTTTGCAAAAGAATTTTTAATATTTTGTTTTTACGTCTTTGTATTCAATCATGTATATTTTAGAATAGTCATATACTAGTTTTATGTTAGCTTTAGTAACAAACTTTATATAAAAAACTAATGACATTAAGATAAAAATCATATACAAAATGTAACCTAGTTTTTATTCTGATTCTGCAAATTGTTTTTTTTTTATTTTTTTTTTATGTATGGTAACTTACACAAATTAAAACTACTTTTTTGACCCATACTCTCAAGTGAATTAACTGACAACACCGCATTTTGTAAAACTAACAAACTTAACTAATAATTATTTTATTTCCAATAAAAAAAATACTTGATTTTTAAGTGAGTTAGAGGCGCACTTGTATTTGTTTTTTATAAATAAATTTATATTACATAAACAAACGAACACACAAGGTACATAGGCACTTGATCAAATGCGGTGCGTGTGAGCGTTGGGGGACCGCGAAATGATCGCGATACGCTAAGTAAGATTTCCGGCACTGCATCCGCGGATCCACGGGGGTCTGCCCCGATCCCACGTGCGCCAGCGCATATTGCGCGAATATAACTCACCGAATTATTGCTTGTCGAATTTGTATAACGCCATACAGAGTGCATAATATCAATAATAACTTAACATTTCTCATGTATAGCGGTCTGATCATAAACTAGGTAGAGCCCGTACTGTGGTTACCATACTTCTGATAAGAATACTTATACGTAACTCAATAAATATATATTACTGCACTCAGACACAGAACCAAAGATTGTGTCCGTCACAGAATTATTAATCCTGAGTAGTAATCGAACCCACAACTTCTGTCTCTAGCTCACTAACCAGTGGACCAACAGTAAATATATTTCGCAAGTGTCTTATCTCCCGAACTACCTGTAACATATCCCCAAGCTACCGATATAAGCTGCAGTGCTCTCTCTAAGGAAACAGCCTTGCGTACAGCGCTGACGCAGCGTCGAATTTTAACAATGCTGATCGGGACAAGACGGCTATACACGGGGGGTTGTCCAGTCAATGGCACTGTGCGGGTCACCGGTTTGGGCGGCGGCTCTGACCGTCCAGAATAGGCCACGCCTCTGGCACCCTCAGAGGATAGTAGCGGTTAGAGCCATACATGGTTACCGCACATCATCACATCGCCGTGGAATTTTGAGAAGGAAGTGCTCGCGATGAGCGGGTGGCTGACCGGGCGGATAGCGGCATGAGCCGAGCCGATGCCCGACCGACCGCTAGGAGGGATCCGGATGTCTTAAAAAAAAATTGCAGTTCCCTGATCTCTCCTAATACAGTCGCAGAGTGACACCGTGTGGTTTTAGTAGGTCCGATTCCGACACACCACTTTGCCTCAAAACCCCGGTGGGGTGATGGCCCGATGGAGTTTTTACCCGCAAAAAAAAGAATCGAATTTCAAACTAAATTGGTTTAAAATTTGACGCTGTGACAGCGATGTAGCGTCGAATTTCAAACGAACTTAATTTGAAGTTCGACGCTGTGGCAGCGCTGTGCGAAAGGCTGTTTCCTTAGAAAATAGCACTGCTGATGTCAAAGCGGCTTTCAACGCACCACAATAGGGAATAGAAAACGAGAAATACCCTTACGGGTTTGGCCACAGAACAAAAAACCTTTTTTCTGCGGGTTTGGCACTTACTAAGATATTTCTTAGTAACTATTACTATCACTTGAATTCGTGTGTAAATAATTTTTTTCAATTATTTTTCTGAAAGTAATTAAATTTTCAATGAAACTATAACTTTAGGTAAATTTTTGATTTCCTCATTTGTTTAAATCAGAAATATTTGTTAGTTGTGTAAAATAAAAATATAGTTCTTTACAAAACAAATTAAATCACCCTTTTTTCGCTTGAAATGCTTAATAACTCGTGCCGTAGCAAAGAAGAAAAACTGATCAAATACTGGGAGTCGTATTTGATCAGTTTTTCTTCTTTGCTACGACATTCCTTATCGAAGATACACAGACTCATTTAACCGTGTCATTTTGTTCGATATATAAAGTTATAATTGTCCACGTGGTCGGGTGTCGACCACAATAGTCTGACGTGTCTGCCAAAACCCGAATCTAATATTAACTGAAGCATCCAGCATATCTCTGTACGGTGACCACGAAATTCGTAATTACAGGATTTACGAGTATTTTCAGACAATAATTTTTTAGGCGCGTTTTTATAAGTAATTTGTTTAGACGTGGTTTGTGGAGATTCGTTTTTTTTTTAATATAAAGGAGCCTAACACCAATACTAAATTTAATTTGTTTCATGTAGCCGAAATTTCGAGCAAAGTCAATGAAGAAAGGTGGCAGATTAATAGAATATCACATGAATTAAATTACGGTTCTCCTGAAGTAAATAACAGTAAAATATTAACGATGACTTAACTTTCTAGTTTTATTACAGAACCCTATTTATTTTTTCCTAATTTGTCTTACGGAAACGATATTATTACTGATGAATATTTTTCTTGAGTATATATATAGTAGCGGTTTAACTAGTTACTGTACAAACATGTAGGTAATTACGTTTAATGTTGCGGATTCGATTCGGACAGATTTTTTGTTGCTTAACCATTGCCAAGCAATCTTTTATTACAGGCTGTGGCCCAGCCTGTACCCTAATTGCCTAGCCTATACAATTTTATAACTTGTAATCCTGAATCCTTAAAGAGTATAGTGCATAAGTTTCTCTGGATTTGGCTTGTACATTTTTCATATTCATAAAACGAAAACAAGCACTTATTCATCCACACATAAAAAAAAAAAAAAAGTCATCTTTCGAGAATTATTTAATGTGTAAATTATTTAAAAGGACATTATCGTTGCATTATTTAGGCTTTAGTATTTATAAATTAAATCCTCTTTTATTAAAAGGTACATGGCAATGTATCCATGGTTTATGAGCCTAAAGTTATTCCCAGTTTTTTTCGATGTCGTCTAAGATGTCGTATTGAATTCTCCGCTTAATTTTTTTTTAAACTAATATTAACGCATTAATGAAGTTAAGTTTAAACGCGTTAATTATTTAATTAACACGTTGTTATTTTAATTAAAGTAAATATATTTAACATCGGCGTTTTTCATTAATTATTTTATTGCTAGGTAGAGATCTCTTCTCCGTATGATTACACATATACTCGTACATTCAATAACGTCTGTATCTGTGAAGGGATATGCAGAGGCATATTTAACCTGGCATCATTATCAATAGTCAACTCCTGGACATAGGCCTTTCCTAAGAAAGGAGGGTTTGGCCTACTATACCACGCTGGCCAGACGGGTTGGTATACGGTTTGTTTCAAGTGTTTTCTATTTGCATTCATGTAGTCCTGCGTAGTTTGCTTTCTTAGTCGACTCTTATGATACCCACAGAATGAACAGAGGTGGTGATAGACGGTATTCTTAATCGGTCACCACACGGATTATTAAACATGTAATATGAAGCAAACCTGTTAGGAGAATGCAATGCAGAAAAAGATATGGATAGGTTTTAAAAAAGAATAAACTAAATTAGTTTATTCTACCGTAGTATTGTTTTAACATTAATTTAGATTATTTTTCTTTCTTTACAGAAACTTTAACCCTACAAAATGCCGCTCCAAATCCGAAGAAACCGTTGCGTAGGCTTCGTATTCGAGAATCTCCTCACCATCCTGACGGTTGTAGGCGTGCTGTCTGGCACTCTACTGGGCTGTGGTCTTCGGGCATCTGGTCATCAATGGTCCAAACGTGACGTCATGTACTTCCAGTACCCCGGAGAACTCTTTCTAAGGATGCTGAAGTGTTTGATAGTACCATTGTTGGTTTCATCAATCGTGTCTGCTATTGGTTCTTTGGATCTCAGTCTTTCTGGCAAGTGAGTTAAGCTTTTTATATGATAGTATGGACATCATTTTCTAATGTTTTAACAACTATTGGGCTATAGTCTACAGTAAAGAGTGTAGTCAAGAGTATAAGTAACAGATGGTTAAAACATTGTTGATTTTTAATTTATTGTCAAGAAAGTGTAATACAGTGCAGTGAATAGGCGCCTTTAATTCGTCACATTAGCGTACTTAAGAATCTTTCAAATTCAATTTAATTTATAATAAGTCTATTTATTAGTTAACTAAATTATAAGGTTTATAATGGAACTCTAGGATAAAATTCTATGTGTCTGGTCATAGCCTAGTCAGGAATACATCTGTAATAGAGCTTTTAATTTCAATTAACTAATATTGTTATGTATTAAATCGATAATTTCCTTGAGAACCAATATGTCACGTACAATTTTACAGGGTTGGTCTTCGCGCTATTATATACTACATGACGACAACAGTATGCGCGGTGATGTTGGGTATCGCGCTGGTCACCACCATCAAGCCGGGAAAATCCAGTGAGCAGTACACGCAGCCAAATGCAACCAAGGTCATAACTAAGGACACCCTGACATCGGATACACTGCTGGATTTGATAAGGTAAGTTTAGGTTTAGTTTGAAGTAAAACGGCAGTGGATAAGAACATTTCAAAGTAATCTTTTTATGTATTTATGGAGCTTTTTCCATTATTTGATTTGAATTGCTTTTAGTTTAAGCACAGAAGCTATTTTGGGTTTTCTTTATGATTCAATTCATATTATGAGTGTAATTTTCGATTATTTCTACTATATAGTGGTCTTTTAGGGTGCAGTGTATCTTAGTAATTAGTGTATTTAACTGGAGTACTTTTACAAAATTACTTAAAAAAAAAACGAAGTAAAGAACGTACGGCCAAAAATTTGTTACGAGTGTACCCCAGCATTTAAATGAATCACAACACTCGTCTACATCAAATTTCATTAACACCTACGAAATACTTCTAAAGAACAATAAAACACGTTGTTTATGATCGAACATCGGATATTCAATAAGAAAAGAAACCATTATATGTATAGGGAAATATATATTATGTGAGGGATCTTGAGCATTGATTTTTTTCGAAGAAATATTACACGAAGTGGACTGCGGCAAAAGCGTTCCAACAGAAGAAGGTGATTGCAAGGACGTTCAGTAATATTTTATGATGATTAGGGCCCGCCGAGCTCTGTAACAACACGTCGAATGATAGAGAAACATTTATTACATTTGCTGAATTGTGATAGAAAAACGAAATAATACTATAGAAACAGAAAGACCTACCAAATTGAGTATCTACAAAAGAATATAAGTCAAATACCTCCTTAATATTCTCTTTCTTAATATGTTCTCATTCGCATTCCCTTTCAGCAAAAAGGGAATACTGCATAAGGGCTTAAACAATTCGAGCGGTATTCGCCTATAAAGGCATAGGATTTATCCCTGGTCTTTTGAGACGGTTGATTGGATAATTATATATATATATATACCCTTTAAAGCCAACAAAAATGTGGATTTTGACCAGTATTGCTACTTACAGCTAATACTTCTTAGAGCAATATTTGTGTAAACAGAGTGTGTAGTGAGAACAGTAGTGTGTGTACCAGAGAAATTTGTGTAATAAAACATGTAACAGAAACATTTCCGTCACTTTAAATGAAATGAGGCAATTCTGTTGAACAAACGGTTTTATAGACAGGGATAACAAAAATAGTTTTAAAGTAACATATTCTGTATTAAAATCATAAAATTTTCGAAATAAGAAGTTCTTTAACACTACTAACTCATTAACACGGTGTACAAGAATCCATACTTAGAGTTTGTTTGTTTGTTACGTTTTAACGCCTAAACCACTGAACCGATTTAAAAATTTTTTTCACCAATAGAAAGCTACATTATCAGCGAGTAACATAGACTACTTTTTACTGCGATAACCGACATGCACGAGGGCGGAGCTACGGCTAAAAGGTAATAATAAAAATAAAATACAGCTACAGTTATACTTTTTTTTTATATCCTTCAGTATACATTTTGCTGAAAACGGAAGTCACGAAAGTAAATAGTATGTTTACTGTTTCTAAGGCGACATTTCCATGACAAAATGCAATTATAGAGAACACGCTTCTTTACTTACGCGAAATGGAAAATTTTATTATTTCATCAAGTAACTTTGAAAACGAATTTCATATAAGTACATGAATACTACCTTTTTTGGATCGAGTATATGATATAACATTTTCGGTGATGACGCATGTCGGTGGTTTCTCATGTTAGCTTTGCGTTTTGAAAATATAAATATTACCTTAGAAATACAACTTAGATACGATCTTTTTTTTATATTTCGGACATCTCACACACAATGCCATCTGGTTTCAAACTAAGCAGAGCTTGTACTATGGAAGCTAGATTGACTGATAGAATATTTACATATTTTTTTTGTAAATACATACATATTATACATAGGAAACACCCAAACGCTGAATCAAATGACCTTACGAGATATAAAAATAAAATACAGTGTACTGACCAGAGGATGTGTGTTCAGTATTGTGTGATGAGCTCGATCATTTCTTCTGGGTCTGGATGTAGTTCCTTTATAATAAGTAGGCATGTTTTAAGAAATACATAAATATGGGTACAGCGCTTGTTCTTCTGATAGAGCCACAGATGGCCTCACCTGTCATCCCCAAGGCTGCGCTTATAGGGGACGGAGGTCGTTCGTCGACCTCCGGCGCCTGAGTCCTCTGCGGTACCTGGCCCGTTCCCGGTACCGCGGGTCGGGAGAGTTCTGAACCTCTCCCGATCCTTCATCTCCTTTGCAAGTATAACCTGCTCACAACAAATACCAATACCAACCTGCTCGCAGAAGGAGACGTTGGAGTTCCACATACTCCCGCTCCGACGGCCGCCGCGAGGCCACGCCCTTGCTCGATTGGCTCTCGAGCCAATCCTTCATAACGGGTCTTACCGCCTCCATAACGGCGTTCCCGACATGTAGGAGAACTTACATATGTTAAGATCTTTTAGGAGTAGTTGATACGAACTGTTAACATGTAATACGACGGACCGAATTGGTCTAGTGGTTAGTGACCCTGACTGCTAAGCCGAAAGTCTTGGGTTCGATTCCCACCCAGGGCAAATATTGAGTGATGAACACGATCATTTGTTCTGTGTTTGGGTGTAATTTATCTACAAGTTATAAATGTATTTAAAAAGTGTGCTTATCAGAAGGCTGTTTAGCAGAGAACAAGCTCCGCTAGTTTGGGACCAGACTTCTGTGAGACGTGTGAAGTTATTATTATTAATAGCGGTCTTAACATGATAGGGGTTAAGCCGAACTGAGCCGTTTTTGTCGGTGTATAACTGAATAAAACTACACTACAAATAAATGAATGGCGTCATACGATTCATATTACATGACGCCAAATGATGAATTTAATGCGCTTAATAGGTGGTATGTTCGTGTTAATTTTGCCATCCGCCCTGACCTGACATGAATTTGCATAGTGATATGATACGTGTGATTTGGCAATGCGAATTAAATGTACACTACAGGATGGACTTGTGTATGATAGCTATATTGTACCATTGCAAGTGTTTTGTAAACAGCACCAGGCCTAGCTATCTATAGTGTTAGGGCAGAATGACACCCAATGTAGGGCGCCCGAGGCTAGCCGTCGAAGTGCTGTTTCGTGGCAACACCACATACTCCTGGCTCCTGAGCCGGAGATCCGAAGGGATTTTCCACTCCGTCACCAAAAAATAAGATCAGAGTGAGATTTTATTTTTTCTTGGATTAAATTTAAATTGTAATAAATATTTCTGTCCTCTTTTCCTTCTCTTACAGAGGGAATATTAAGTGTGTCTTAAATATCTTATTTATTAATTGTCTTTCTTAGTTGAGGTGTACCTGGTCATAGTTAATTAAGTGTCAAAATATTCCTATAGAATGGTCTTTCAAAGTCGCAACTGCAAAAGATTTTTAGTCTTTATGCCCAAAGAGATAGAATAGACAACAGAACTAAAAAGGAGGTACTAATTAGCAACCATAATCTTGCCATTTTTTTTGACGGGTTGGAAAATCCTTTCGGATCTGCTGCTCCTCGGGGACTCAGGAGCCACGAGAATGTGATTCCACTAAAAACCACCCTACTCTGGGAGAACCCTTACCATGTTATTTTAGGTCCTCTTCGAATTGACACCATGCCAAATTAGGCCCTATCCAAGGGGAAAACACTTCCCCCTCAATGGCGACATGGCGGCCCGATTGCATCTTAATGCGATCAGGCCGCCAATCTATACCCAACCGCAGATCGTCGCCGACGTTCTCTACGCTAGGGATCGGCTCTTTCCCGATCCCGTTCAGCGCTCTCTTTCTGGAGCATTACAGCTTCATAGAAAGGGACCACTGCGACGCATCCCTCCTAACCCACCAGCATGGCAGCAATGATTGCTAGCGGAGACAACTATAACCTTGTCTGATAGACAGCACAAGTATCGGTGTTGAGATTTTAATAAAATAACACCCCATTTCGACTCCCCAATTCAACTAAAGCTAACGCGAAAATTAATGCTCACTTTCTCACAAACATTAACTTCGGATATTAACTAACTAACTAAGAAGTCAGAGAAAGTTTTAATAAAAGGATTCGTAATAGGAAATAACTTTATTTGCTTTTCTTATGTACTCTATTAAAGTAATATTAAATTTATTTTAACTTTTAATGACCAAAGTTATTAAGAAAGCTGGAGACTTGGACTCAAAAGATTTTTTTGACAGCAATCATTAAATTAAGATGAATATTTCGTAGAAAATTTTAGTACACTTGATAGATAGGTTGTTACGTATTGCCTTACTAATTAATAGAAATTTTGATTTGCTGACCTAATTTATATAAAGCAACAAATTTGGGTTACAAGATAGAGAAACGTTACAGAGGCAGATAGATAGGCCTAAAATAGGTAGTCGGTTTCTGTTCTAATCGTTTTGAAGCATTTTTTTTTTGTTTTTTTTTTTATTTGGAATGCCCATGATAGCACCCTCACTTTCCAAGATCGGCTCAGGTAACTCAATTAGTCTGAATATCGGTTTAGTCAATATTTTTCTCGACTAAGATTTGTCATATGCCCGTTCGTGTGATGAAATATGCGACAAAGGTAATTGTCAATTGCAGTTCGCACGCGGTGTCGAAGTGAAGTGGTGCGGGCGCGAGTTCCCGCTCGTCACTCTTCATTCGACCTTATTGTCACGCCCTATATATCTCTCATTAGGGCTGTCAACAAATGTCTGCCATAATTTATAAAGATTATTTGTTAGGGTGTGTTCATTTTTTTATGTCTATTAAGAGAACTACACAGGTTAATGAGTAGGTGGCGTTTTTAAACAAGTAAGTTTTCACAGTCTCCCATCAGGTAAACTGTTACTGATGCATGTAAACTGGTGTCTGTAAAGTTGACCAAACAATAGAACCTTTGATAATCCTAAAACACCCGGAGCAACAGTGGACATGATAAGTTTGCATTTAACGAACAATACTAGATTTGTGTTGTTCGTCAAACGCAGTTTTCTGTAGTCTGTAGTCTT